TGATAAGTCTTCAACGAGGGGAGAAATGGTGGGAAAGATGAGAGGGGAAAAGGCCCACAAGACGAAAGAAAAAGAAAGAAAAACATAGTGAAATAATCAAAATAACAGCCAGGCCGACCAGCCCAGCCCAGTCCACTCGTCCATCAACCATAATCATGATCGGTGCGTGGCTTACTCCCTAACACGACTAACCCACAGGTGCGTGGGTCCCTCAATGCCCATCTTCTTGTCCCTCCTTCGCCAGGCCCTGTGCAACTTCATACCATTCTCATGCACCTCCTTCTCCGCATCTGCCAGTTGCTGGGTCAACTCTGCCAATCGTTTATTCATATCCTCCCTTGCACTCCTATTATGCGTGCTTGGGTTCGGCGGTAGCAGCTGCTTGATATCCCAAATCTCGCGCTTGATATCTGACCGTTTTGCCGCAAGCTTATCTTGCTCCCACTCCAGCTGCTCAATATGATCCCTTGGTTTCTTCTCCTCCTGCTGCTGCTGCGGCGGCGGCGGCGTCTTGGGGCGCTTGACCTCCTGTAGTGGGAGTGGCACACTCGGGATGCTGATCTTGCTGACGGCAGATTTGTACTGACTCGGGATCTGCGGCATCGATGGGATGTTCTCTGACAGCGCTAGCTCCTGCGGTGTTGGTAGTGGCTCAAAGGTGGACTGGCGGATATGCAGCCGGATGGGGTCGTTATATCTGGTCGCCACAGTGTTGACAGTTGTGACGGTGTTGCTCCTTCTATGGAGGCCCTCCCGCTCACGTGTGTCTAGCCAGTCATCGATCGAGACAAAGTTTGGCGGCTTTGCAAGAGCAATGGGGGAGGGCGCTTCTAGCGGGTCCAAGATGTCGCTGTTGTTGTGGTCCGACGAGTATGATGGGGTCTCCACCGGCCTGCGGCGCCCAGAAACTTTCTCCTTTACATTTCCAAGCCCAAAGCCTCTGCGTGAGCTTCCCTCTGGAGTAGTGGACTTGCCACGGATCGTCTCGGCGGAGGATTTGGCGCTGAGGGAGAAGTTGGGGTTTGTAGGCGGGGCGGGCTTGCGGTGGATTTTTTTGCGCTGCTGCTGTGGTGGGGGCAAGCGCGGGAATGAGTTTGAGGATGACATGCTTTCCGTCTTTTTGTGGGTGAGTGTTGATGATGCTGAGGAAGATGCAGTGGAAGTGCTGAGGTTTTTAATTTTCAAGGGAGTGGGCGGGCGCAGGCTTTCTTCTTCAGAGTCTTCTGAAGAACCATATGAGTCGTCGCGCAGGCTGGATCCTCTATATAATGAGCGCAAATCCAAGGGTTAGCATGTGTTTCAAGTAGACAAGTTACAGATATTCAATGCAACTCCAGCACCAGATTGACAGCAACGACCGTTGGTTCCTAATCTACACGAAACCTACAGGACCGCGCCCATCTATACAAATACAATGCCCATGGTACGCATACTATCCATCCCCAGTAGGGACCACCAGGCACCCTCCAAACGCCAAACCCAACGAAACATCTTCCACAAAATAGAAGGTGACAAACAAACAAGAAAAACGGCGCCAACTTACACACTCGGAATGTCCGGCAAGCCCTTGAAGCTCGCAATCTTATACCCAATGGTATACGGGTTCCCACCGATGCTCGGCAGCGGTATCGGTCTTCCATCCAGCCCCAAGATCTGCCCCGTGAGATGTGTGTTTGTGCTCTCGGTGAGCGTCGGGTAGCCAATTGCCGGCTCCTTGGGTCGCGTGTAGATGGGTAGTCTGTTGAACATTGTCGTGATTGTGCTGGTGAGCGTCGTCATGGCGAAGGTGTTAGTCTAGAGATTCCCCCTTTATAATATTTTTTCTTCCTTCACTAAAGAAAAATGTAGTTCACCGATGATGGTGATTACGGGTGGTGATGTGGTATGGGTGGGGTGTGATATATGTATATGTATGGGATGGGTTTAATCTAAATGCAGGCGGGATGATGATGATGCTGATGATGGGTGGTTTTGTTCAAATAAAGGGTTGTACAAGCTTAAGGGAATAGGCGAAATCAAGAAATATTTCTGATAATGGGGCAAAAATAGAACTCCGGGAATTAAAAAGAAGACTTGTATATGCAGCAGTACTACAGTAGGTATGTAGTACCAAGTAAGAAAGGGAAAGAAAAAAAAAGATTTAAGATTAATATCAAGAATGATTTGAAAAGTGGTCGCAGTAGTAGCTAGGTGGGAATGGGAGAGTATATGCAATGATGAGATTGTGCAGGAAAGAAAGGAGTGAATCAAGGAAAGAAAACAAGCAATAGGGAGTGAATCAAAGCAGAGGGTATGTAGGGTATGTAGAGTATGTAGGTGTAGGGAAAACAACAATGCGCAAGAGAAGGGTCCAGGGACCAAAGAACTCGAGGAAGTGCACAGAAGGGGGGGTGGGGGGGGGGAGAGAAAGAGAGGGCTTAGACGTTCGAACGTACCCAAGATATGTTAATCCTAACGGCGGTCTAACTATTCCCTTACCTTACTAGCAGCAAGCACTCGTGAGAGACGCAAGGGATAGTACAGCGAGAGACACACGGCACAGAGGCCAAGCAAAATATCTTTTTCGAGAATCGATAACCGCTCTGATCCAGTAGAGCTAGTAGAGATGCAGGTATGAATGTAGCCAACAGAAACAACAACGTCCGGTGTTGAACAGTTGAACTGGTGTTTGTCCCTTTCCTCTGTATTTGTCTCTAAAGGAGACGACCGGAACTTTCCCTGCCCTATGGACGTGGTGGTTTTCCCTTTCCCCACAGTGGACCGGGGTTAGATCACCTGTCGGATGGATGTGCACTGCACTGCTGTATGTACTGGTCAAGGGTTCAGTTGACGAGGTAAGGTACCGGTATTCGATCTTTTTTTATAACTGTCAGTGCGTTCTTCTTGATCAGTACAGTGGCCGAGAAATGGTCTAGTTGGTGATGTTGTACATACATTGATTGGCTGGTTTGGTTTGGTTGGCTACCTATTAGCCAGAAAAAAAAATACTTATTTACCTTTTTCGTAGTAAGGAAGTTGCTGCGGTCTCTCCGAGGGTGTGGTGCGAACGAGTATTGTGCTGTGAGTGGGGGTGTGCGAGAGAGTGTGGGAGAGAAGGGGAAAAAAGTGCAAAAAAGATGGGATAAGGAGAAATTTAGATCGTCACGGGGAATAAGTAGACTGGACAGAAGTAACAGACAGGCCTTGGAAAATAACTGCTTAGAATTTTTTTAGCTAGGATTTGCTATGTATTATCTTCACGGTTTATTATTCAAGAGAGATCGCCCCAGCTTTACCCTCGGCGGTTTTTGGCAATGGTAGATGTGGAGTTCTAAAATAGAAACACGGCGCATGTAATTTTCTAGCAGGGGGAAACAAAGCAATGCACCCTGGTGGAGGAGAGAGGAGGAGGACGGAGGAGGAGCAGGTACTGGAATATCACTGCTGGGGTTGAGTAGTTACCTATGGAGGGGAAGCGCGCGGGATGGGCGGGGGGATGAAAGGGAAATGGGACGAGGATAGCAAGAACAAGTTCATGTCCGTCGGCCGCAGCACAGTCATGTGAGTCCGGTTTCTCGAATACGATGTGATATATGGTACGGACTTGTCTGACTGCAATTCGGACTCTAGAACACGTACGGCCACGAGAAGACCGGCCAATACAATCCACAGAGCACAGCTTCGACGTTGAGACAGGCCTATCAAAACTAATGGCTCATCCAAGCATCTCAGGTTCCAATCTCCACCAGATTTGTGCGTAATTCCGCGTGGCATGCCTACTATCCAGTACACAGCAAGTTGCACTTCAACACCAGACCAGTACACGCCTTCAATTCAGAATAGTAATGAGCTGACCAGGGGTGAGGTTGTGCCATTGTGGTGATCCCGGGGCGTCGGGTGTTTGGGGTGTTTAGCGACAGGCGAGGAAGGGGGGGCGTTACAGCCCTTCTAGGTACTCTAAAAAGGAATGAAACATCGCCCCCCTTGCGTGGTCCATCGAAGAATGTCGACAACCCTGCTCGGAATCTTGAGAGAGATCTCGAGGTGACAAGTTTAGCCCAGATGATAAGGGTTCCTGCCTGTACCTACATTCTGCAGGTGTTTGAGCTTTAGAGTTATTCTCGCGTGGCCTAGCTAGTTCTAGTTGGCGCTCTACCTAGCCGTTCTACATGGGCTTTAAGCTTTTTGTACGATATATTGACATGTTGATAAACACTGCCATGATGATGCTGATGGTGATGATGCACGAGAGCAGCAGCTGTATGTACCTGAATATGCTGCCCCTCTCTATTTATTCCCCAAAGCACATAATTATATAACTGGTGCCAAGCGAAGCCGTTTCGGGGCAATAATAAATATCATTGACATGCCATACTAAGCTGAAGAACACTTGCCGGTTGTTGTCTGGATAGATCCACTCTGGCAGTACTGGCGATGTTCGAATCAACTTGGGTGATAGAGTGCTGCTGCTGCGCAGGCAGGGGCTTAACCGATACTGAAACATCCTACCGTTCTCTAATAATTATAATTCTCGTTAATTAATATAATGTAATTATACTTAATTATAATTTACAGCAAAGCGCCTCTCTACAGCAAAGCACTAGCTGTGGCGTTGGATGTATGTCTGTAGAGTGCGCATGCTGTATCAAAGCTCTTCTCTTTACTCTTTACTCTGGTAGCATGCACCGTTAAGTTCCAGTGATCTCGGGTACGCTAGCAATTAGTATTGCACCGTCCCTGGCGTTCTAGGATGACAAACTCTAGACATTTTTGACTCCGTTCCGTAGCAACCAGAACAGGAACCAGAACACCTACGGTCTAGGTAATCCAATAAACGTCACCGGAATCAACCTCAACTCATCTTCCATCATCATCACCAGTGCCTCCTCAACCACCACCACCACCACCACCACCACCACCACAACAGCTACTTTCTCGCCTCCTCGGATCCACTCTATTAACATCCCGTCCACCTACCGAGAAAAGAATTGAGCCAATAAAATAAATAACTATCCACTACCATGCCGCACGAATCCACCGCCGTAGAGGCACAAGCGTCCGTCTCCATCCCAGGTTTTCTCCCGTCTCCAAGAAGCTCTATATTACTAACACCTCGGCGACGACCGAACCAGGCTGTCAATCTTCACTCCCGTGAACCTGATCCTCCTCTCCCTGGCCGTCTACATAATCTACAGCCGCCTCCGCCCCGCGCCGCCCTCAAACATCAAACACGACGCCCCGCGGGTCTTCCGCACCTTCACGCCGAAGACGCTAAGCCCCTACAACGGGACGGAGTCGCCGAGCGTCTACCTAGCGGTCGAGGGCCGCGTCTTTGACGTCACTGCCGGCAAGTCGTTCTATGGCCCCGGCGGGCCGTACTCGAACTTTGCGGGGCGCGATGCGTCACGGGGGTTGGCGAAGAATAGCTTCGATGAGGAAATGCTGACGCCGCTGGATAAGCCAATTGATAAGCTTGAAGACTTGACGGATGAGGAGAAGGAGAGCTTGGCCGGGTGGGCGAGCCATTTCGAGGGCAAGTACCTGCTTGTGGGGAGGCTGGTAGAGAAGGGGAGTAAGGAGGCCGAGGAGGCCAAGGATGAGTAGATGGGGAATTGATATTGCTGCGTCTAGCTAGCTGTAGGCTTTAGTTGATACTGTCCTTTTTTTGCTCGTCCCGCAACCCATTATGGTTTATTTACCAGCAACTGGGGATTTTTGCGACTGGGTTTTTGAGTGTTGAATTGAATTGAGCAACGATCTCAATCTAAAAACCAATTTCTCCATGCGAGTAACAAAAGCAGTCAACGCAATTTCGGGTGAGAGTGAATGTCAAATCTCGTTCTGGTACCCGGTTCCCTGCCCTGTCCGTTGCGCTCTCCATAGTACACACGGGGATCTCCGTCCATCGATTATTAGCCTCTGCATGCAATGATCAATTTTACATAAACAGCCTATGCACCGTAGAGTATCTTCACTTTACTTGTTTAACTTAACGACTGAAGCAGTTGCCGTGAGTACTACAAGTAGCCCCGTCTGCAGATTCACAGAGCTGGCTCCTACTCCATACTACTCTATCTAGAGTACATGTACTTATCTCCACCCTGCCAGGTACCACGGTACAGAGAAAATAAGCTCAACCTATCGGCAAACGCCGCCCCGCCCCGCCCTGCCTTGCTGCAAGCCCGTTGATGAAACATGCCCGCAATTACATGCCGGCATCGTCCTGGCAGAAATGGGGACACATTAGGCGTGGCGATTGTCGGTGAGTCTATCAAACTGCCTGCAAGAGCGTTTACTGCGGAGCAAAAATGGTCTTCCGAAATATGGCACCCAGTCCTGGAAACACGGGAGGGCGATATCTTTGTTTTTGCTTTTTGTTGATGTTTACTGCCGGAGACGTTAGGCTAAGCTTACGCTGCATTTCATGAAACTTCAACCATTTCTCCGATTTCGGAGCTAGCTTACGTAGTAGTACGCCTTCTACGGGATGACTTTACCTTCATCTTCATTTTCTACTGAATCGCTATGTAATAGTAGATAGCTCCGTTAACCTTTCCTGACCGCCTCTCTAAACACCACGTACTTCCAGGTATCTACCCCAATCAACATCCCAGAATCAAAATCCCCGAAGCACTGCACCACAGCACACCTAACCCCCAATCCTAGCGGCACTCGTCCATCGATCTCAGACAAACCCATGCAAACCCCAAGCCTGCCCCGCACGCGCACCACCCGGGTCTTTAATGAAGATCTGCGCCCTGCCCGCGCGGCCTTCTCTTCGTGACGTTTTCCCAGAGATGCGATCATTGTATATTGGCCTTGTGGGTATAAGAGTGTTCTTGAGCTGATGTGCGACTACTTGGCTGGTTCCAGATGTGCACTTTACCTTACGTGCGAGCTGAGGGTGGCTTTCTGTGTGACGGATGGGCTGTGGTCTTGGTTACGTACGTACGTAGCTGCTCCCACCAAGTGCAGAAGCCGAGTGGTTCGATCTACTTTCGTGGTTCTCGTCCAGTTGAAACGGGGCGTAGAAGTTTGTTCAAGCAGCACACTTAGATATCTATCAAACCAAATACTGAGCACCAAATAATAATATTAGTCAGTATAAGGTATAAGATAAGCATCGTTTTCCCCGCCTATAGGCTTCAACTTGGCTGCGCACATTCTCATTCTAGAACCCTGCGGAAGGAGCGGAACGTAAATGTGAAGTTTCGAATGTTCGGCCCCTTGCATACTACTGCACCGCGCGATATCTTTCCTCTTGAGAATCGAGATGCGCATTTGTGTGCGCCATATTACTTACCCGCGAGTTATGAGAACGCACATATCGCCATCCAATCGCCTATCAAGAAAAACTATATGGCCCAAAAAGGAAACCTAAGAGTAAATCACGAGTGATATCTCATGTCCAACGCAGTGCTTCTGGAAAACCCTCAAAAAATCGATCGGGGGCAGATATCTTACTTCTGTCTCGATTATGCAAAAGACAAGCAACCACTTGTCTCTTCTTACCACTACTGCGTACCCGTTCGGCTTAGTAGTAGTCATCCTACTCCTCGCCAACGACATGACCTGCCTGACCCGCGATATACCCAGCCTAGAAAGCACAAAAGAACAGCACCGCTCTGTTTCCTTTAGTCATACCACATCTGCGCTTACGAGCATTACCCCCTCAGGAGGGCAGAATTAGACCTTGGTTTTACCCTACATGTACACTCTACCCATAACACGTAGTCAGCACTTAAGAACGTACATAAGGCTTTAAGTTAAAGCCCGCACGCTTGTTTTACGCTGCTTACGGCAACGTAAAACAGACCATCCCGGGTTGCTGTCATACGGCTAAGTTCGCAACTACAAGGCAAGACGGGGCAAGACAGGGCAGGCAGGGTACCAGGGTTGTGGGATAAGGCTGGTTGTTTCATTCCAAACACGTTATTTGGGCTTTGGGCTTTGGGCGGGTAAGCTGGCTGTTATTACGGTTGTTTGGTTGCCGCCGTTTAATTTGTAGGATGTAGTATGTAAAGTATAGTGTTATATAGTAGGCGGTGGGGTTTTGAGAACGGGCGCGCGCGGGGCGTGGATTGCGAGTGATGGGTTGTGATGCGTTCCTCCCTGCGATCTGCTGCCCGATGGGACAACAAACACAGAGCAAGAAAATGTGCAACACGGAATGGCCTATCGGCATTCTTAGACCCAAACTACGACACTTAACTCTCAGCTTTTGATCCTGTCACCCCACAACCTCCCTTCAAGAGCAAGGGTAATTGAGAATTGTGCCCAGTGACACAAGACTTTAGCTACGAGTAAGGAGCTACTCGACACTGGTCTGCAGACATTCTACTGTGCGATTATGTCAAGTGCTAGACATGATTGGGGTATGTGCACCAAACGTGCACATACCTTGGAGTGAGTAGCAGGTGCCATCCGGGGTATGCGATCTATAGACGGTTGTTGAAACAGGCACCGGGACTGGGCTACAACTGTGGTCCAGGTAAATGCCTTGACGAAATCCCGGGCAGAGCTGTGGGTCTGGGATTGGGTTATGGTTTGGGCCAGAGGTTGAGGGCATTAACGTGTTTACGAATATAGCCTTCCGCGTTGTGACCAGAAGTGTTGGTTGGCTTTCGTCACTAAACGGACAAACGGGACGGACGGCATTGCAATTGGGTCATAACGATTAAGGTGGAAATCCTATCTGCTCAGGGAACCTGAAATCATAGCTGTATGGTGTGGTGTTACCGTACTTGTTGCTTACTGACCTAGACATTCTCTCAAAAAGCTTATAGATATAGAATTCTCACTAAAGTGGTGACTAGAAACCGCGCACGATCATACTTCGACCCGCCCACGATATGAAATTTATCGATACCATTTTTTTGCCGCAAACATCAATAGCACTAGAGATCTTCACACATGATACAATTCATACCATTACACCTGAGTTCCATAAATGTTAATACCTTATGTATGATTAGCCCCTTCCATCGACCCCCACCGACCCCCACCACCCATTTTCCCCCCAAAGAAATAAACAAAACCGATATATACAAAAAATACAATCAAGAAGACACAGCCATAGTTGCTTTACCACGAAGAAAACTATCTCCGCATGTCTACCCATACCGAGACGCAATAGTTATCCGTACAACCAGTCCTGTCTCACTACCATCGAACAAATTTTCGGTAGGAATTAGCTAGAACACACCCTCGGGCAAGTCCTCGGACATCTATGTTTCAACAATAGTAAGATAGCCAAGAAAGAGGTAGGTAAAATAGAAAAATGCCAAACAAACTCCTGAAAGAGATAATAAAAAAGCAAACAATGGGGAGGTGGAGGGGGTAAGAAAAGGGTATATAGATGGCATACATAGCCAGCCCCACCCATGCGATATAAAAGGTAAAGAAAAGTTCCTCAAGATCGTACCCTACACTAGAGCCACGAGAGGTAAATAAAATAAAATAAAATAAAATGCGCTAATGTCCTGGTCTAGTCCCTCAGTTAAGAAGTTTCCAGCTAGCCCGATTAATTCGTTTTGCTATTGTTTCGACCTGCTCTTGTGCCAGCTTCCAATGTCCCTTATCCACAGCATCTCTGATACCAGGGAAGTAACCAGGTTCCGCCCCACCCCATGCCTATCAATACAAGTTAGTACCTCTTTCGTGTGGCATCACTACATTCAAACGTACCTGTGGCGAAAAGACTACATGTTTGAACCACGGTCTGCCGGGTAGTCCACCGCCGTCGTCCAGATCCAGGAGATGCTCCTCAAAATTGCTCATCCTTGCATTTCGACTATTCCGATGAATAGTCCCATAATTATCCAGACCCCCCATGACTGTTCCCATTTGATCCATCCACGGTTCGTGCTTAGTATCAAATTCATAAAGTCTCGAATGAGCTGTTGCAATCGCTTCTCTCAGTTTACTTAAATCAACGTGAGAGTCTTGAGATGGCGAGGCTTTCGCCTTCTTATCGATGAATCCTTCAAGGTCCTGAGTATAGCGGTCGAGGGCAACGGCATAGTTTGTCATGTTGAATGGTAATTGCGGAGTGTCTGCAAGCTCAAGAATGAGCATTGCAAGGACTTGAGCCATGGCTTTATGATAGTTGAAATCTGGGTCTCCACGAGTTTTCATCCAGTCATAACTATCGTAACAACTATGGTGCGGAAACCCTCCGCCAGTAAAACCTAGGTCAATTGAAGAAACTCCCGCGTAATTTTGCCATGCAACCCAGTCACCCCCGGAACCTAGCCCAGGGAGAAATTTATCGCCCCAAAGCTTCCTCAGCGGTTCGCTGGTCTGGGGATCATCCACCATTTCCAAAGAATTCATGAGAGCGGTTTGTAAGAGTGGTGAACCAGATGCCGAGAATTTCGTTCCAGCTATGGCTGTATCAAGGTTGACGTAAGCCATTCCATGAAGACGTAAAGACTCGATATTATCCTCAACGTACTCGCTGTAGATTGTGACATTAATATCTTCAAGTAATGAGAATTGGGAGGGGTATATGTTTAAACTTACGTTGAGCCAATGAGATTATACTCCTTGGCATCCCAGCTTGCAAAGATAATACTTCTACTAGGTTTCCACCCGACTTCCACCATCTGTCCAAATATCCTAGCAACCTCCAGCATGATAGCAGTTCCGGAATTTGGATCACTGGCGCCAAAACACCAAGCGTCTCTGTGATTTCCAATAGTGATCCTTTTCTTGTAGTCATCATAGCCTTTGATCAGCCCTAGAACATTGAACACGGGTTGCTTCTCCTCCTCGTTTTGAAGATTATCGAGTTGAACTTTCGGCGAGGAATCCATAGCACCTGTCCAGATTTCCTCGTTGAAATTATTACCTGCCTCCCAAGATCCCTCAACCTTCTTTCCGTGGCCTTTGAGTGACTTGAGCAAATGCTGCGCATCATTCCATGACAATGGTAACGAAGGAATCTGTAGAAGCCCAGGACTATCTTCCTTCTTGATCCTCACAGAATCCTCTTCGGCAGCATATCCCGGCGTTAATACATCTCCTACAAGCCAGTTCGACAGACCAACACCACCCCTCTGCACCGCATCCCCGGGTAGATCCCATCCTTCCGTTTTAGGATCGGAAAACAGAATACACCCAGCTGCACCCTTGTCCTGGGCAGCCTTGACTTTGAGGGATCTATCTGGCTGTGTTCCGCCGTTTCTAACCAGGACAATAGCGCCTTTCAAGTCGATGCCCTTCTTTTCCAATTCGAAGAAGTCTTCTCGTGACCCATAATTGGCGTATATTAGCGGACCTGTCGCACTTGCTGATTTCGAGTGACTGTGAAAAACAAGTGTGTTTTCTTTTCCTTCAGTTTTTGGTTCCTCCAGAACTGCTTCCCATGGAGGGTCTATTATCGCAACTTTTCGCCCTCCGGGTTTTGGATAATTAACGTAGGCAAAATATCTGAACTAGTCATTAGATTAATGCGCAATATACCCTGGAAAATAAGGTTAGGGTTCTATACTCTATTAATTCAACACTTTCTAGTCCAAAGCTCCTAAACTCCTTTTCCACCCATTTTGCTAGCACCAAGTCTCCCCGTGTGCCGGCAACATGGTCAAAACTGGTCAAATACTCCAGATAATGCGAGATTTTGTCCTTGTCCAATGTATCCTTCACATACTGCTTTACTACCTCCGGGTCGAAGCTAATCAACCCATTGGCGGGATTTCCCGGGCCGTTCATGCTGATGGCATCTGTTGCAAGTAGTGTATATACCACGATCAAGACTACCACCACACCCAAGAATCGATACACCGGTATCAGCCCAGCGCTGAAGCAAGGGACCTCAGGTATTGAAAACCGCGGGAAGCATTTTTTAAACGGATTCACCTTCCAAGAATCCGGCAAGCTTATCGATGACAACGACATTGTTATCGATGATATGCGCTTGCTTATATTCTGTCGTAACCTCCCAGGCCTCCTCCTACTCCGATCATTACCGTGCTCCTCTTCGCCCGGATCTAAAATCCCCATTTGCTCTATCTCCGGTTCCAGACCATCCCCGGACCCCCGGCTAGACGCAAAATCCTCCAAGAAAGAGCTTTCCAAGGAGCTCCGTTCACTCTCAACAGTGGGCTGTCGATAGCCTCGAGTGCCACTCCTCCGGTCTCCAAGCAATTGCGAGGTCTCTGCGTGTTCGCCGACATCGCTTGGTGCACGGGAAGCAATAGTCTCTTCGTAGGTCGGGATCGGAGGATCGAGAGCTAGCATAGAACGCTTCTCGTCGCTCATCGGGCAGGTGGTCCCCGCGGGGGGTGTTAGGGGTAACTTAAAGCTGTTGTGTGCTGGGCGGTATGTGCAGTGGCCGAAAAAGCAGCTATGTGAACGCAGTAACGAAAGGATTACGGGCAACGAAAGTGTGAGAAACCTATAAACGAGAGAAAGGAAAGGGGAGGGTGGGTGGGGCTTTGTAGAGAATGAAAACCGCTGGGGGCGTGTCACAGACAACCCATCCAGTGTGTAAATTGATCCGGCAGGAAGTTGATAAGGATCCGAGAGAGAGATGCGAGCTGGGTGAATGGGAAACTGGACGAGAGAACAGGAGGGTGTTTATTGTGATTGTGGCACGATTACAAGCCAGATCAACAGTAGACTGATACAGGAGATAGCGATGGTGGTGGAGGGGATGGATGATGAAGATGTTCGTGCTGATTGCTTAATGCCTGGGGGGCGAAGCACATCTGCCAAATATGGACAACGCGTACTGTCCTTAGGTTACCGAAGTCTTGGGACGAAATATCCCCTGCAACGGCCCGAACAGCTTTGAAAAGCAACCTATCAATGACCTCCTGGTCCTGGAACGCAACATGCAAGAAGCACGAAACCAAGATTAACTTCAAGTTAAGTTTAATAAATATTTAAAGAAAACCACAGACCGGCCTAACTAAGGGGATATGAAGAGGAAGGGAGGTGAAGTTTGGGCGACCTTCAATCCGGAGATCTACTCTAACCATATGTAGAGTACCTGTCAGATGTCCATGTGGTACAGTTTTTCATGTGCCTGGCCGATTTCGCGTAGGAGGATCGTGCAATATCCTCGAGCGCTCTCCTACACCCTCGAAACAATACAATTCTCGCCATGGTGAGTCTTGGCTGGGTAAAAAGTCACCACGGCAGGAGAACAACTATTGGATCTTGGAGCGGAGCATTGAGGTTCAGTCAAGGAGGTGTAAATCTAGACTATGGTCAAATTGATGCCTATTAGACGGAGTTGTTTTGATAGTTTCAGGCTAGGACTTTAATTTTGGCGCTATTCTACAGCTTAAGGCCTAGTTGTCGATGTAACTTCAGTTTACAAAATGATAGGTGGTCTAGCCAATAGGTATCACAAAGGCATCTGAACCATACAAGCATTCACGCCTTAAACCTTATCACCCCGCATTCCCTTAAGGACGCTCCACGCCTTCAAAAAAAATATCACTTCCGAGTGATATACCGTATCAAAAACCCCAAAGCTCCAAAGCCCAAAATGTACAAACAATCATTGTCACATCACAACACATAACTATTGTCATCGCATCCCAAGCCTTTATCCCAATGTTCTTTCTTGAATGATATTCCCCGCAAAACAACCTACATAACATAAAACAGCTGCTACTCACTTAGGAAGGTCAAATCACATGCTTCTGAACCCTCCGGATTCCTGAAAGACCATTCCGACCATTCACTTCCCTACAGAACCCAGGCAGATTGGCTGCCGATAATAATAAAAAGAAAAAACCATGGCATTCTTTTAAGCCGGGGGAAAAAAAGAGACACTAAAAAAATATGCTTCATGAAAACGGAAAAGAAGAGGTAAGGAAACAAAAGTTGAGAAGTAATAAAGTTGATCGTACAAAACCGCCAGTATATAAGAGAGAGGAATAAGGAAAGCCAGAAAGAAAAGGAGAATGATGGGGCAAGCCTTTGCCGCTTTGTAGTAAGAAAAGAACAATCTGAAAACTGTCGAATGATATTTCGACCTTTAACAAAAAAGAAAAAAAAAAGAAGTACACTCGGAGAGACAGAAAGATGCTGGTGTTACTACATGTAATGACCGCTGATGTCTCAAGGACCAATGATCAGCAGAGTCAAAAGCAATACAATCTATTGTATCTGTCCCCGTCAAAACCCCTTAGGCAATGGGACCCTTTGATTTCTTGATTGTCCTAGGAGGACTCAAGGCTCCAGCAAAAGCATCATTCCTGCTACGCTTCTCTCCAACCGCTGCCCCCTCCGAAAGATCCTCAAACAATCCCTTGCCGGGTCTTTTTATTGGCTTATCAAAGAGAGATGACTTCTTGCGGGTGCTCTTTGGGATATCTCCATAAGAGCCAAAAACGTTGTCATCGAGTTTGGCACCGCTCTTCTTATTGTCTGATGAAAAATCGTCATCGGAGTCTGGTGTTAGACGAGAAATGGCGCTCCTGGAGAAGATATCATCTTTGCTCTTCTTCTCGATGATCTCGGCTGTAATGGCCGCAAAAACGTCCTCGATATCGGTCTCGGCCTCTTCCTCCTCCTCTTCTTCGTCCTCCTCCTCGTCGTCTTCGGATTCTTCGACGTCCTTGGAGGGGAAAAGGAGGCGGGGACGGATTGAGGAACGCTTGCGCAAAATGGCGTTGATTTCCTCATCTTCCTCCTCCTCGAATTCTTCCTCTTCCTCCTCCTCCAGCTCGAACTCTTCGAGGTCCCCTTCTTCCTCCTCCTCCCCCCCCTCCTCCTCCTCCTCCTCCTCCTCCAATTCGTCTCCTTCCGCTTTATCTCTACCAGGTTGTCCCACGAGCTCCAGGTTAAGCTTGACTTTAGCCTTTACCTCCTCCCCCTCCTTCTCTCCCTCCTTCTCCTCCTCAACCGCCTCCTCTACCACCTCTTCTTTATCCTCCTCTTCATATTCTTCTTCTTCCTCCTCTCCGACTGAATTCTCAAGAGTCGGGGAAGCAGCCTTAGGAAGTGGTTCATCAGGATCATCCATTTCGGTGAATTTGCGGAACATCTTCTTTCCACGGCTATATAAAATCACAGATATTAGAAATTTGAAGAAAGAAAAGATGAGCAATATCCAAAAATTGGAGAAAAAAGTAAGAAAAAGTAAAACTCACAAAATATAGACCATTCCGTCCTCCCTTCTGCCATCCTCACCTAGTGTGTCAACATCCTTGACAGTCTTCTTTTCCTTCTTCTTCTTCTTGCTATCCTTCGGGGAGACAAACGGATTCTCTGGGCATGGATCGTATTTAGGGATTCTGGCACTGCTATCGGTAAAGATACTGATAGAGCTACCATTATCTTCGCCCTCTCCCGTCAAATCCAACCTTCCGGCACGCTTCTTACTGCCTGTTTTCATGGTGGTGCCAAAGATATCTTCCTTTAGGGCAGTGGGAGCCGGTGTAAAACTCTTTGACCCAAAGAGCCTTCTTGAAGAGCTAGCAACTGAATCGATTGAGAAGTGCTTTCTTTTCCTTGCGGGAGTCTTTGACGGCGTAGGGAGTCCAACGCCACTAGGGACAGCTGTAGGGCCTCTCCCAAAGTCCTTCCCGAACATCTTTTCTAATTCCTTCCATCCCTCGCTCTCAACTTCTACCGGCTTGTCAACGGCATCGTCGAACACGGATGCCCGCCTCTTACGGGATTTACGTGTTGGCTCGAACGGCAATGCGGAGTCATCTGGGCCCAGAGGAGATGAAGGTGGTGGTGAAAGTGTAGCTGTAGAGTATGTGGATGACGATGCTGAAGATCCAGCTTTGCCCTTGCCCTTCTGCTTTCGTGAAGTCGGAGGCGGGGAATCGAACCGAGCGCCGTGGAGCGGGGTTGGGGGAACACGGTCAGCTCGCGAGGTACGTGTGCGGGGTGGAGTGTTCATTGCGGAGATTGTGTGGTCTGTCTGGGTTTGTTGAGATGGGTTTGTTGTGGTGTTTAGTTGAGGGGGAACGACGAGACGCGAATCCCCTGGGTGATTGCTGGGCTGTAAACACAAGCACTAGGTTGCGCGGAGAAAGCCAATTGGACTACACGCGTAAATTGAAACAAAAAAAAATGATGGTAAAAAAAAAGGAGCGACGATGTGCAATCGATCGAGCAAGTAGATAGATTTTTAGGAGGAGGTACAGGGAGAAGCAAATGAGCAAACAGTGACTCTGGGAGGATTTCTTCGAGAGAGAGGGTGAGGAGAAGGGAGGGGGTGTGGTGTGGTGTGGTTGGCTGGATGAAGCGAGTGTAAAGTAGTGGGAGTGGGCATGACAGGGTTCTCTGTTGTTGGCAACTTGTTGCTACGCTCTCCAACAGCCAAACAGAGTGCAGGGGGGATATTGGCTTTTCTTATGCAGAACCGGGAATTAAAATAATGGAAATGACGTTCCTAGTAAATTAATTGTATATTCCTGATTGCAGTACCTATGTCAAGATAAATTCCTACATACTTTCGTGCCAATCCCCTATGTTTATTGCGGTGTGGAAATATTGTAGTCGCACCAAGCTGGAGGATACAGTAACCACGACCAAAAAAAAACCCCCGCTGGCAACGAGACAGATTCCCAAGTAAACAAATACATGTACCCCCACTCGACTGTACCCAAAGCATTAGCTGCTCTGGGATTCATCTGCTTAGGAATTAATCAAAGATGTCCCAAATTCAATTGAATTGTTTCTATGAGCAAACCCATAAGAATTGAAATGCCAAGCGCTCAGCTCTATTACAAGCTCTCGATAGCTGATTCCCTTCCACCCATCAATAGCATTGTGTTTTGGTATCGTCTAACCCAAACACAAGGAGCCTGCAGCTGAAGCTAGGAGAGTCTAGCCAGGAGAGCTCAAGCAAATCCACCTGCAGAAGATTTCCACATGCCAAACACCCGCTTTTGATTTGAGATGCATTCCGACCTAGTACGGTGTGTTGTGGGATTCTAAATGACTGGATTCCTCAACAGAATTCCTTTTCTTCGGAAGGGGATGCGTCATCATGTATCACTCGGTTGTTGAGAAGCCTTTGACCGAAACATGTAGAATGCTTGAGGGCGTTTCATAGCTCCATCGCTAATCAAAACAGCATAGTTCGTAGTAGCCCCCGATAGGAGATTACTGGCACACCCAACTCAAGCTTTATCACCCAATTCCTCAATCCTAGCTCAAGCTCGTTCGCATACGCATAGCTCGAGATACATAGAGCCAAGCCTCGCCAAGCCCGTCCCTCCACCCAAAGCAACCTCCCCTCCACCCCCACCACACCTCCCATCCAATAACCCCCCAATCCCACCATGCCCACCGAAGAAGACAACTCCCGCCCCACCGATGCGCCCCGCGTCGACACAATCTCTCGCGACGACGCCCTCCGCGCCGAACTCGCGGGCGTCCGCAAGATCAATAGTGTAATCGAGGGCGTCGTCGCATCCCTTGACAAGGCCAAAGACAACATGGAGGTCCGTCCAGCTCAGAGGCCAATTGCGAAGCTAAGCTAACCAAGCCGTACGTGCTACAGACCGTCTCGCAAACAGTCGCAAACGCAAACACACTCCTCGACCTGTGGATCCGCATCCTCTCGCAAACAGAGCACACGCAGCGACTCCTCCTATCCGGCCACTGGCAGGGCGCAACGCAGGACCTCGACGACATCGAGGCGGAGGCGGTGAATAAGGCGCAGGAAGCAGAGCGCCGCAGGGAGGCCGAGCGCGAGAGGATAGCGGAGCGCGAGAGGGCCGCGGCGGAGGCGGAGGCAAGGAGAAATGCGGCGGAGAAGAAGCCGCCACCGACGAGAGGCACGAGAGGGTTGAGGAGGACGGCGAGGACTACACCATCGGTCGCGGGGTCTTCGAGAGGTGGCTCGAGGATTGCGGCGCCGCCGCCGATGGCGAGGGGGGCGCCGGCGTCGAGGACGACGAGGGGGGCGGGGGGCGGGAGGGGGATTGGTGGCATTGGGAGGGGGAGGGTTGCGTAGGTGGTTGGGTGGAGGAGAGACGTTGGTTTTTTTTCTTCTTTTTTTTTAATACTCTTAACAAGACTAATACCCACTCCCTGGGGGAGGTAGGCAACGGAATAGATAAAAATCTAACTTTGCTTTGAACGTTTACTGTCTTATACTCGTAACAGGTTGTGGTTTTAGTGATAAAAAAAAGAGGTCCTAGTATCCTACCTGGCAGGCCTTGGAGCTTCATTGGGACCTGAATCCAGTCCGCAGGTTTAGGTTAGAAGTACTCGTCTTATGATTCACAGCGTGTCCAAAGATTATAACAAGCGGAGGTGCGAATCTATATTTCGTAGGCTGGGTATAATGCAATTGCTATGACTTGATTATCATTACCCAAGGCCTGACACACACAAATAAATCGGCTCGAAAGATTCTGGAATTATATTAGTTCTTTGATACGCTGATTTCTGGGTTAATTGCGAGTAGGCGAGTAGCGTATAGAGAAAGGGACCCAGGTCAGGACTAGACCAGCAGACCCAATGAACGAGTGAGATCCTATGAAGGAGACACATTCCCATGCAAATTAAAGTCCCCCATAAAGACGAGACCTGACATACAAAGAAAAGCGAGAGTTTACCCAAAGTTGAGGGATAGATTTGTCTCCAGAGCCAATAAATCTGCTGTATTGGTAGACTTTTCTAGAGTACATGCATGTATGCACTTAAACGCACCTAGTGACATAATACATCAAAAGTGAGATCCAGAGTAGGCAGTACATGTAGTTATAGAATAAGTGTATATAGAATGTGGGTGTGTAGCGGTACATACCCTTTTATTTGCGCGGGATAGCTACTCGTAGTTGTCATGTCCAAAGGGGTATTTCAGAGAAATCGTCGCCACTCCACATATTTCCATTAGAACACCCCTAGCCTTCTCACATCTCTATTAGCCCTAACTCAACCCCATATCGTGACCCCAACTCCTATATCTGGTCATGGTGCGGTAATATCAAAAAATAGATCCGTACAGACGACCGAGTGATCACCCATGACGCACCTCGCCCACAACCGGGGGGTGCAAGCCACAGCACCTGTATTACGCAGCGCCGACGCTATGCAGACCTGATAGGAAACAAGGACTATTTTGAGGTGATCGTCTCAAGTCCCGAAATGGATTGAAGCCATCTGCAGCTGGTCCGCTCCACCGGACCGTGCCAAGGCCCGGCAGTTATGCCCGAGCTCAGCCTTCGCCCGGTGTGATAACTTCGTAAGGCGTGCAGGATCTGTGGATGGGCGATGGCGTGATTGGTAGCTCGTATTGTAGAAGTACCTACACATATACACGTAGTCTAGAGTACTGATGGATGCGGGCTGTACACGCAGAGAGCTCTAACTCGTGATAGGCGGTTTTGGGGCTGCGGTGTAAAATGGAAAAAAATACTCAAGCCAAAAGGGATAATACTAGGTTCAAAATGATGTTTTCACTTCCTTAAACTACACACCTGGATCAAACGTATGAGGGCAGGTCCTTCTAGTACTCAATCCTAGGGCATCCATCAGCCACAAGGGCGTTCTGTGCTAAAGGAATTAAGGAGAGGTTGCTGATATCAACCGGTCTACTCGTGCCTGGCGCCATGGCCTCTGTAGTTACGGTGCAAGGAGGGCTCTACGCGGGGATCAACCCTAACCCTAGTTAGTCCTTGTCACGATAATAAGAAATTAGACTAGTGACATTGGGACTACCGCATGTTCTGCTTATCATTGATGGCTTAGATTGTGCTTATTCGTGGGAGACGCGAGAGTTCTCCTCTTCTTCTCAGCTCATCATCAAGACAATCAGTTATGCGCTAAGCTTTATCTTCTTGCATTGTATCCGTGGATATCCCAGTCTATGTTCGTCAATAGGCCGCTATACTGGGTCTACCCCCCAAGCTTAAACCCTAACTTGCAGGACGTTTGACCCTCCATCCGCGGTACGCGGCGCGTACCATAGAGCTGCACGAAATCATCGAGGAGGGTGGGCGAGCCTGACAACTATCGGCGGGTAAGGCTACTTACGTCGGGCGGGAGAGAGACCTGCGACATTTCACCATTAAAAAACAATTGTCGAGTGATGGGAGGAGATCACACGCAAGGAGCGAAGCTACAAGTTGATAGGTCCTCCCATCTCCTAGATATCGCCTCATTGCCACACGACTAATGATACACCGACATACCCGAATTTCTGGTACGGGAATCCGGCAAGGAGTCGGACCGGGCGGTATTCTGCTTCGACTCGGCCGGGTGAAACCCAATCTCAACCCGGGGCGACCCAGAGTATATGTGAAGCGCACTTTACATCGTCGAATTCCCCGGTCAATAACAGTCGTAGTGTAGAACCTCTCGCCCGACGTTTTTTTCCGCATGTTCCAGGAATTAATGTAATGTGCACCTTCCTGCTCCCCACCTATTCGGCCGGCGGTAACCAAACACAAGATATCACTCGGCACCCGAGACACTGGCTCAAGCTCCGAGTAAACAGGGCTCGGCCGACTCAGCAGGCCGGTTGCGGTCAAAGCCGGCCAGCGCATGCACCAAACAGCTATTTCTACGTGTAGATGCACACGGGGTTCTGCTTCCGCAATAAGAGCGCGAAAGTGCAAGATCGTTGTGTCAGCGCTAGAGCCGAAACCGAGGAGCAGCGCCAAGCCCACTAACCCCGATCGCTCTAGAGCCAATGCTGGCGGGAAATGATTTCCTGCGCATGTGGGTGTCGAGTGATAGCTCGTGATACACCCATCCACCCCCAGACAGACGCCAGGTATGTAAGAACCTATTCTATTAACAGATATGTGGCTCAATATTCTAGACGGGTCTGGGGCTGACTTGGCTGAGGCCAGGCCCAAAACAAGCTTTGTGCGGACCAAGCCACAGTCAGCTCAAGGAGTTGCCGAGACTACGTGGCTGGCTGGATAGACAGATATAGTACTTACATCTTCACGGCTCCTAGCGCCTGCTTGGCGGCAAGTCGCCGCCTCAGTCAGTGTAACGTCAGGTTTGATTTCCAACCGCGCCTGCTGTGCGCCACAGTACTACATATACATATATACAGTTCAGGGACGCCAACAGCTGAGCCGGGCAGCCGGGCAACTGTCTACATACATGTACTTACATACCCTACGTTTTAGCTGCACGATTCAAGAAGCGATGGCCTGTATCATCATGTATCGAACTGAAACGGTGGCAGGGCTAGGGGTTCTGGATTTCCGGAAACTAGAGTTATGGTTATGATGATCCCTGACACAGTGGGGTTTCAACATATAATGGGAATAATCTGTGTGCAGGAATTTTCTGTTCGTCTTCGTTGATGATGGTGTCGATGGTATCACGTTTTTCAGGGCTGAAGAATGTAGGCACAAGCTGAGCAGGTAGCCTGCTTGGCCTTGGCAAATACGCCGATTCCTCTTCCGCCCTCCATAGCGGGAGAAAACTGTTTGTCTACCCGTAGCTTCATAGCGTTTCCGAACACGACCAATATTGTATGACATACAAAAAGGTGAATTTGGCGCTTTTTTGTATGGCATGCAATAGCAGTCGTGTTCGGAAACGTCATGAAATCGGTAGAACGTAAATATATTTTTAAATTTGATAATAGATCTTGATCGACGTATCGCGTGGTATGTGCATTCGCTTTGTCAATTACCTGCATTGGTTATCATTGTAGGTACCTTATCTATCACGGATAGCGTTGCACATTAGAGAAATCGTTACAACTGAGCCCCGGTAACTGGCGACATGCCCGATATTGCCAAGGACATGGGCCTGGATGTCGGTGACATGGGCTTTCCGCGGACGGGAAACATTTGCTTTACATGTGAAAGTATATATGTAGTTAACTCATGATTGTACCTAAAAAAAAATGGTTCATATTCTCTATAATATACATTAAAGCGGGTTATAAGAATCCTATTAAGAATGAATAACCGAATTGCCAAATACCCCACTGCCTGAAAACATACATGTATGTAGCTGAAATTCTACAGAGGCCATTTCTCGGCTTGTTGTGCAACCTTTGAGGGAGATGCCGGCGATATTGGGCGGACCTGAAACAGCAAATCAGCTTCAACTTTCTTCAATCCAATGAATCAATTAGTTTTCACTCACCCGCCAAATGGATTGTCCATTCACTTCTGCCCTCACTATCCTCAATCGCTGGTACTCCCGCATGTTAATGTTGCGAGGGCTCTCCACCGGTATAGACCTACCAATGTTCAGCCGGCCTATCATCGGTATCTTTCCTGTGAACCTGGAGAACAACGACACCACCTTCCCGTCGTTGGACAGACGCTTCCCGGACATGATAAACGGCGCAAGTCGGGACATATCCTGCTGCTGGTGAGGCCGCATATTCGATGACCTGCGTAATTGGTTTTCGTAATACACGTGCTGCGATTTCTCTGAAATCATGCGCCCAGTGAGGGACGTGGGCGTTTCGACAAACTGCGTGGTGTCTGTGGCCTTTTCGAACTCGCGAGCATCGATTAATGGGGTGATGAGCAGCTTGACGCACATGGGCGCGCAGGCTAGAATTATGGCGAGGGAGACTTCGATTTGGGACCAGCCGATGGCTTGGGGAACTGAGACGTCGAGGAGCTGGGTGGTGAAGCGGAGAGCGGAGGCGACGATTACGAAAGCTATAAATTGATAGTGAGTTAAAGTTACTAGCTAGGTTGTGTATGGCTGTTTTGAGTTACCTCCGAAAAAGTAGAGGACAGATACCCCGATTCGTTGTCGTAGAGTGAGATTTGCGCGGACGAGCAGCGGGACTGGAACTGCTAATACTAATGTGTTTGTAACAATGTTTGAGATCCCGGAGGTAAATGTAAGTAAAGTTCTTTTCGTACACTGCTCTAAAAGATGACTGAGTGTTAGTTAAGACTTGTAATAGCTTTACAGCTAATATATATAAGTAGTTATAGGTAGCTGTACATGTAGCTATAAGAATAGCTTCTTGGTCTTACCATTATTGTTGCTTAGGCTCCAGAACATATTAATTGGGATACAACTGAGGAAAAGAGACAGGATGCAGATTGCAAAAGTGAGGAGACATATCCCTTGGGTGACCCGTAGATATAAAGTGATATGTGTTGTATGCCGACTAAAGAAATAAAGCCAAATAATCAAAATCTGTTGGGCGCCTAAAAGCTATTTCTGGGGAGGCGCAAACTCACGCAAACCGGTTATAAAGAAACAGCATGCTGAACTTGACAAGAAATATACTGATCAGGTACATAACTTCGTATGCCAGGCTCAGCTTTAGTCCTATCACAATCTTCGAAAGTCTTTTCATCTCCTCCACCTTATCTGCCCTTCCAACAAAGGCGAAGCTGGATTTCCCTAGAAAACACATATTAGGACTTAATCTATCAGAGCAACCGCAATGCCCCACAGAAGATGAAGATTAAAAAGAAATACCAAGAAACTCTATCATGGAGAATATCATCTGATTAGTGACTAAAAAGAACACGGCAGCCATCGCGCAAATATCGTCCCAACCGATCCTTGTCTTCAGCCTTCGCCGTGAAAATATCCTCAAGATCACTGCTACCACCGCCCATACTACGATAAACTGCGCTGCAGATTTAAGCTCGGTGGTATTGCCGAACATGGATCTGGAGAAGAAGTTGGGGATCCCCTTGACTTGTGCCTGTGTGGTGTTGAAGGACGTCCATTGTGATACGGCCGTCGTCCGGTTGAACGCTGGAATAGGCATTTTAGATCTTTTCTCGTCCCAGTTCGCGAATATCAAAACAGAGGTGTTCACTAGAGGGAGGTTCAACAAGGCCTTTTCTCCGTGAGTACGTCTTGAAATTGATCCCGTTGACCAAGTAAACTCGTAGGTTCTATGGAGTGGTTGGCGGTGGTAATATATAACTAAAGGAAAAATTTCAAGCACAGCCGAATAGAAACAGTACCAGCTGTTGAGGAAAGTAGAGGAAAGAAGCAGAAGAGAAAGAAATAATAATTATAATATGTAGTGAAGGGAAGTGAGGAGAACAAAAGGGATTACAGTCAGTTAGCTAGATACATGTATGTATGTATACATGATGATGTATCTACACGTGGTTCACCTGTTACTCCAGTCTACGAACATGGAGTCGGGAAAAAAGTTTATGACAATATGTAGCACACGAACACAATGATGCATGGGCTCTAACAGGAGAGCACCATGGCAGGCAGGTAAGAAGGGACTACTGAAACTTTAACGAATCTGCCAAGAGCGGGATTGGCACTTAGTTGCGTCTCGCTAAGGTTCCAGGAGGAATGATTACCATGCGCTTGATGCAATGCGGATAGTCTGTGAAACACTCTAGAATGCCGTCAACGTCTCATCTTCTCACAACTCCATTGCTACCGAAATATACTCCGGTTTAATTGTTTTGCTGGTCTCAAGCTTGAGATTTCTCGCTTTGAAAGCCTGTGGCTTATCTACATGTATGTACTCAAGTAGAGCACCGCCTAACATCCATCCCACTTAGAATAAGAATATCCCAGCGCCCCGTCCCCCCTCAACCCTTGGTTCTCAAGGCTTTTTTTTCTCTCTCTTTCTGTTTTCAAGTGCCGTACAAAACACATACCTAGCAAGGCCTAGAAGAGTATGAAAGCCAATCGTACAGAGCTTCCTTCGAATTTCTGTAACCAGACCTCAATCCGATCGCCCAGCGCACCTTACGATCACGTTCGAACCCAGCAAGCAGAGCTCTACTGTACCTACTCTCTCTTTATGAACTCCAGATAGTTCTGCAAGAGTTCCCTTCAACTTTTGATGCTGCATTCTCGCAGAACCCAATGTGTGTTAGTACATATACCCAGATGGAAGACCTAAGAGAGAGCGTAACCAGCTATAATCCTCTACGTGACGATCAACGATCGGTTCTCGGCTGGTGTTTGTGTGCCTTGAGTCCTATTGGTTATGAGCTCTCTCGCCGAAAATATCATTTTAACCAGTCCGTAAAAGAGACAGAGACCATTACTACCGGTACATTATCTATAAACGTTTACACATGAGTAAATGAAACGATAAAGTTTCAAATAGCTCAACTTGTCCATCAACACTCCGCGTACTTTGTATTATTTGCGAAAGTTGTCTGATGGATATATTTGTGAAGGTCCGCAGCATTATGAAAGATACTCTACCATTTGGTATCATCACAATGGCCGGATGTATTCGTGAAGATTTTCAGCTTACGAGGATGCAATGTGTAAATGGTTGTGTTTACACTATCAATTGCATCAAAGCTGAAAGTGCAAAAGTAGGGCAACTGTAGGTACTGTCTGATTCGGTCGATAAATATGGTATTGTAGCGTGTTGAGAGACAACACAGACAACAGCGCACCTACAAAATCTAAATCAGAAGCTGTTCTCCTTGGGATACACATTTCAAGTCTCAAAAAAGCGGCAGATGCGCAGGAGAGACGAGGAAAAACACTCTACTAGTATTTCGCTGACGTTTTTGAACTGGGCCATTATTGTATACACCCAAAATCATGAGCTTGGCGTATTTTTTGTATGGCATGTAATATCAGTCGCGTCCACAAACGTCAGAGAAATACGAGTACAGAGGTAGGTACCTACATGTAGAGTAGTGGCATGCAAACCTGTTTCCCCGGCCTTTGTATTAGAGGGATTCTGCAACGCCCGGTATCGACTGTCCGGGATCTTTTTCAGGTTGTTGCCATGGATACCTGTGACTGGATCACAACCAGATGCCGGAAATCAATAGCGGAAGCTAAAAGTTCTGTTATGATAGCGGAAAGATGCCGGAAAGCATCAAGCTATCAATAACATATCCTACGGCCTTATTACTCAAAAATAGCTAAGAAATATCTTAATCAAGGCTCATAATATATATCCATCTCGATTTCGATTATATTGAAAGTATTATGACTGTTTTTAGTGACAGTAATTGTAATTTGTAGCGATTGGAATGGGAACTGGGGATTTCATGACAACAGCTGACTTGGGGAAATAGCGATCCCTCAACAGCAGAAACTCATTTGGCAACTGTCCGCTTGTTGCACTTCAGGTTCAGCCCGAAATACATGCATACTTACGCCGTAATAGACCCATTTGACTCCAACTGTTAATATTTTGGGAAGGCCCATGGATACTATGTATGCTAGTACCAGATTCATCCTTAGGCAAATAGGTACTGTAATAGTGGGGTTACCATTTTTCTGGACAACGCAACCCCTTGTCTTTTGACATCAGAGAGGCCCTCTGGAAGGGGTGTATGCGGGTCGCCTAGCCTTGCAAGTCAGCACATTTCAGCCTCATCCAGGATCATTTATGATTGGCGGTGTCTTCAAGACACGCGATTCTGGGGGGCTATGATGCGGAAAAAATTTTTATTTTATTTTGACGAAGAGAAAAAAGCTTGTATAGGCAGGTACTCGCAAAGTCTCCGGAATATGCTAAAGGCAGTTGAGAATTTTTTCTCAATTAGAATAGCTAGGTATGTAGGAACAAAAGTTCAGACGAAAAGGCTCGAATCTGCAACCCACCGGCAATTCGGAATATGTTTGTTAGGGAGCCAGCATGTTCCGGAATGATTGGTTTTCAAGTATGTGCGTGGGGACTCTGTACTACTATGTAGGTACATGTAGGTACTTACATAGGTAGAGTAGGTGGCTGACCATCGTTGCTCTACATTGAGGACGGACTTTTCGCCTTACTTGTGCAACCTACCAGCGCATGTTAGTGTTAAAGAATACATGTATTCTACATACAGGACGTACGCATGTGTAGAGCGGAGTAAATACATGTACATGTATTTAATTCCCTGACAGGACAGATCAGGGGAGACATGTACTGCTCTGTGTTTGGGTGGAGTACTCCCACTACATACAGGACGTAGGTGCCTAGACTTATCGTAGTACCAGAGTAGGTGTGAGATAGAAAAATACATGTAATTGTTATCTGTAGTTGCGCATGCGCAGCTGGCAGTCATAGAAAGAGAAGAGAGGAGGGTGAGTAATGACTGACACTTGAGCGCTTGCATCCACTAACCCTGGACAAGGATCGGATGTTGGGGGACCCGAAGGTTAGACGAGAACGACAACGAACGAAATTTAAGAGAAATGGCCCGGAGAGACAGATTTAAGTTCTTTAGTCGCGCGGTCTCTCGCTATCTCTCAAGGAGGTAAAACCCAACTACATACAGTTGGGAAGGGGATCGGGCCGGTTAGCTGTGGAATATTCTTGGGCCGTGTTTTGTGTGCCTGGGCACCACAATTACCAAACGGGGAAAGACAAGTCTGGCTAAGACAACAACCAACAGGATGGTCTGGGGTGTGGAAAATAGAAAGTGATGTACAGAGACAAAGATCTGTACGTTTAGGTGGGTTGTGTGGATGTTCACAGCCTTTCCTGGGGCCCCTCCCACCACCACCACCACCTGAATGGTGTTCCACGATAGATCTGGAAGAACTGACAGGGATACGAGGCTGGGTCAGTGTCATTGAGGGAAGGGAAGGAAGGGTTTAGTAAAATCACCTTCAAAGACATGTCCCGCTTGGTGCTTTTGTGCTTTTGTGGCTTTTATTATTGCCAACCCCAGGCTCCTTTTTCTCACCCTTTCCTTACTTCCTTTGAAGGGAGGACGGACTTACTCAAGTACTAACTATCTCCGACTTCTTCTATTCCGGCACGTTAACTGTCGTTGTTCGCCTTCTTTTCTACCGCTCGTTTTTTATTTTCTTATTTCTGTCTGAAGCCCAGCTACCAGTTACTGGCCTACAGTCGTTTACTGCGTTCCAGTTCACGCCTCAGTCAGCTTGGTCAAGAAGCATTCTCGGTTGATTCGACCCTACCGACACCCATTCAATCCAGCTATCCATCTCGTTCAACTTTGATAAGTTCTCCAAGCTCTCCGGAGGTCCCCCACCCCAGTACTTCGAAGTAAGAAAAAGCAAACTACAACCATTTCTGGATATCGTGATCTTCAGACAACACTCGAGAGAGAAAACGACATACAATCCAGTGTCGTTAAACCGTGTAAGAAAGCTGGTCTATAACTGTTTGTCCGTTTCTTCGACCGGCAAGTGCGGCTCTCGTAGAACTACTTGTCTGAACAGGGAGCACCATACCGGGGGAGGGGATATTTTGATAACCCCACATTTATATATATACCTTACCTCCTGCCCGCCTGCGTACCAAACTGCCTGGTCGGACAGTCTAGTAGTAGGAGCTCTCTCGTCAAATTTATATGACGATGGCCGCCAGCTCGGCCGCCGTAGCAGAGACAGCAGCAGTACCACAACGCGGCTTTTCGTTCCGACGGGCATCACGGCGCTTGTCATTGTCTAAAACGAAAGCACCCGCTCCTCCGCCTGAAGTACTTCCCCCAATCCCAGTGCTGCCAATTACTGCCTCTACCTCTGCACCCCCTGCTATACATACAGGACCCCCACCCCGTCTGTCTCTGTCCTTTAGGTCTCCATCGAAAACAAGGAGGGACACGGGCGATTTCAGCTCCTCCACTCAAGTTGCTCTTTCATCTATTGACGGACTCAAGTCCCGTGACTTTGTGAAAGAAATCCCCACAGCTATCATAACCACAAATGAAAATCCCTTCGAACAGTCCGAGAAGCCATCTTCCACGCCCCTGACCACCCTCGACGAAGTGGTGGCAGATACCCCATCTCTGCAACCTTCTGCCACGTTTGAAGTCGATACCTCCACAGAAAAGGGACAACCGCGAATTACGATATCAACATTTCTTAAGTCTCCCGATGTCATAAAAGACACATCATATCAACATCCCGCTTTATCATCTTCCAGTTCAGCGCCGGATCTCCTGGATCTGAGCACCCATCCAGCTTCTGAGACGTTCCGCCGTTCTTGGAGCTCTCCTAGTGTTTCCAGGTCAACATCTCCAGGTAGCCGGGATGGGAGGAATAGCAGGGATGAGGAGGAATATGTGACAGGAAGCTCCGTATCTTCCTCAAGCCCCACCAACTCGGGCGAGCAGGATGAATTCAATTCCGACAAAAACGATCTTCCCGTTAGGCCGGGGTTGTCCCGGACGCCAAGTACAATGAGTAAAATGACAAGGAGACCATTGAGTGTGTTTATGAAATCTTCCGCATCTGAGCCTTCTATACCGTAAGTGGAGTCGCTTAATAAGTTCCAAAACAATCTCAACTAACAATCTTAGTATTATGGCGGAGAAGGCTGGAATCAACAAAAAGGTTAAAGATGAAATTTTCGAAGCTTTCAGGTTACTTGAGAATGACTTTCAGAGGTATCTATGCGGTTCAGGTATAGGGAACATTCTTTTGTCTAATTTGTATGGGTAGATTCCAAAGTAAATCTAGCGTCCAGAAGGCAAACGTTCTCCGACAATCTCTTTTGCCCTTTCTGCGTAAGTATCATCAACAATCTTCAGTAAATATCTCTCCCGATGAGCTTGATAAAAGAGTGCGCTCTTTACACCGCTGGTGGACTGGACTTCTTGCTCAACTCCGAAACCGCAACTCTCAAGCCATTGCCGGGGCCGACAGGCCAGCGTATCTCGAGGGAATCTCCGGCTTGATGTCTCGCCCTGAGTGGCGAGCTGCCCCTTCATCATTTGCACCTTTGTCGCAGAAATGTCCCTCAAGTTCGAAATCACAGTCCACATCATCGTTGGCTTCTACATCTTCTGCTTATTCGGTCCAAAAATCAGTTCAACATAACATCAAAGTCCTTTTCACACGCACCTTATTTGATACCCTAGCCTACACCGTTGAGAAGATGGGTCTGAGAACTGTCCCTCCGAGTTTGGTAGCATTTGGCGGGAAAGTTTTGGCTTATGCCTTTTATTTCTGCTCCGGTGTTGCGGAAATGTTAATACGTCTTCTGGGAATTCAAGCTGCTACTGTGAGAAGGGTTTTACCAGAGTTTGGAGTCGGGAGAGGTATCAATCTCAGCGGAGTTGCCGAGGGTATAATCGCAGATTTTCCAGAGACTCTGCAATCATTGGGTTTTACCACATTAGCATCCACCTTACGTCAAATGAAGCAACCAACAAAGCTGCCAATTGGAGGAAGTCAGGTTGACTGGTACGGACCCTGGACAAATCGTTGGTGTGGGCGCGACTCGGATTTGCTCTTCGTCTTTTTGAAATACTATCACATCCTCCTGTGCGATTATTTGCCGCCAAACATCTCAGCGACTGCCCGAATTGCCGCTCCAGGCTATGTTCTGGTGCATGCTCATGTTTTGTCAATTCTCGATACGACCATTCATCGGAAACCGACATCCGGACCAGAACCATCAGCCTCGACAACTTTCGAGGATATGCTTGCGAATGCCACAGCTGCGATTCCAATGACTGCTCGAAATATTCTGCGCACAATGGCCGAGAACAAGATGGTTGTGCTTTTACGTGACATGGTGACGGATAAGACGAATTGTTCAGACAAATGTCGCGAGCTATATGCAGAATCATTCATGGGTATGCTTAAGGCAGCGGTGAAAAAAACAAGGGTGTTCGATGCAGATGCATGCTTTACTTTGTGTGACCTCATGGAGGAAGTTTTGCCAATATTCTCGCAAGCCGAAATGATCTCTGGTGCGCAAATGGTCGATTGGTCGTTCTGGATGGACGTAGTGAAACAGATGTCAGAAAGTCATAATAACATGACTGAGCTACGTTTAGTGGCATTTGTTTACACATCATGGGATGTTATTGTGGAGGATGAAGAGCGAAAGCGGGCTCTCTGCCTTGAGTGGTTGCTATCTAAGCCAACGTGGGAGAGATTTTTCTGCCATTGGTGTCCAATGGTGAGAGCATATTTCATGAGGCTAGTCTGCTGGAGGCTGGCAAGATGCGAAGGGAGTGAAAGTGCGCTAGATCAGTGGGTTCCCGTCCATAATACTAGCTTAGTTGCGGTGCTTTGAACTGATCAAATGCTCAGGGAGATTTTGGAAACTTTGCTGCTCAGACTAAGAATAAGCTACGCTCATTACCAGCGTTTGAGAGACACGGCAGAAATAAAAAACGGAGCATTGCCATCTACTGCACCTTGTCTTCCAGCACCTTGTCGTCGACTTGTTATCCTTCGCAATGATATTATGACCACTCCTCAGGGTGTACTACTAGATGGGATCATCCCGACTGCTATCCCGATTTTAAACCCGGAGCCGGCGAAGCGGTCTAATCCCTCGACTTCTTCGGTGTCATCTGCTATAAGTGACGCGCAATCAGTCCTTTCAGATACATCGACCGAAACAACGCAATCAACGGAAACAGTCATATCCACGTTCAGTAGGAGATGGAGCCAGATACGAAATGTCATTGGCTTTCGCTCGGCAGCTACTCAATCAGAATCTACACCTGAACCAACCTCACCCGAGACACCACCATTTAGGAAAAGAACCTCTAGTCTCACATCCACAAATGTTAGTCCTAAGCGTGAAACCACACCACCGAAACCACCAGTCCCACAAAAGAAAACGACTTTCAAATTCTCAATAGAATGGATGGAGAGGCCTCCATATGGAAACCGAGATCGGAAGTTGGGACTTCCCAGGTTACCAGTACCAGCCCAAACATTCCTTGATTCAAATTCGAAAAAGTCTTTTGAAATCGATATGTCCGGATGCCACTCTTATGGAAGCCAGTGGACGTATGCTGGGCGCGCTTTAGCGGAATGGGTACTGGTGGTAGTCGAGTATGAAAATTTCTTTGAGAGACGAAAAATGGAAGGTAAAGAGTGCGACAAAGATGTAGAGACGCCAAGTCTCGGAGTTGATTCGGCGCGAAAGTTCTAGGGGTATCTATAAAACTAATTGCCGAGCTTAAAATCCCCGTCGTTTCTGTTTATATCTAAACAATGGGGGAAACCGCTATTCGGCGGCTTTCTTGGGATTTTAAGGTGGTTATCACGGTGGATTATTCCTTTGTCAGTTGTATTTTGGTTAGTGGATCATATTTAGGCCACTTTATACGGCGTTCACTCTTTATCTGGAGGTCTCTCATTTGTGGTTCATATCCCATTCCATGAATCCTTTTCTTCTACCTTTCTAGCCTTCTCTTATCTTGTGGGTAGATTTTCTTCATTTTAGCACCTGCGGCATTTTGGGAGGCTCTTTCTTGTATATCAAGTCGATTTTCTTTCTTAACTTTCTTTCCTTATTTTTCTGAGAGGACTGGGCCGGACAGCGCGTCCTCGTTTCATAGTATGTGGGAAAAATCACTGGGACTAACAAAAATTAGGGTAGGGGTGGTGCATTGTATTTTCATCCTACGTTGTAATATTTTCATTTATACGGGGTGGGTTGTAACTTAAGTAGCTTTTAGGGATATCAAGCCGAAAAGATTCGACAGCAAATTTGCGTCTAAACAAAGCATAAGTATCATATATTTGGGACCTTTGTACAGTCAATTTAATTACCACATACATACTAATCCCGCGATAAGATGTTGCGTATAATAAATGAAATAACAACATTCCGTTCAGCGGGCCTCGAGTGATAAACCATGCCTTAATCTACATGCGGCAAGACGCCCCTACCGGGTCCCTGGAGTAGACGAATGCTTCCTGGGGTATAAATCTACCCCGAATGTAAAGGGACACGCCCTATAATGGTACGACCATGTGATGGCGAAGAAGTGGGCATGGGAGGTATGTAGTTGTGTCCCTGTCGCATTTCCACATTTCGAGAGGTAATTCAGGGGATATCGATTGAATATATATATAGGGTACAGAGTTCCACGCTATCCATTTCACTGTCAATAAATGCTGCCTCTCACCGTATGCAAGCAAAGATTCTGGCTAGTACTATTGGGAGATCTCTGGCTACATGTAATCTTACACTCGGATTTGTGCCTGCGTGAGATGGGTGTAGTATCGACAGAGTAAGGATATAAAAGGGAGAACACCCTCTTTAAAAATAAGTGAGAAGCCGTGAATAAAAGTAATACATACATGTTTTCACTAGATAATCCTCACAGCATGAATGCCTTTTCCAAACCCTTCATCACATGGTCTTGCCAAAACGAATCTCTCATCTAACCAGTCCAAGAGTTCTACAGTGTTTGAGGAGCTGTCAACCATGCTCGACCTCTCTTTTTTATTTAGCATCTTGAGCATCATTTCTCCAACATGGTGTACTGTAAGTTGATGAGGTAGCGGTCCAAGGGTCATATTAAGGTGAAGAAACTTCTCGACGGCGCCCCAGGGTGTCGTCGAGTAACCAGCAAAGAGAGCAGGGTTTTCCATTAACCCACGAGCGGCCATAACGCCTAGTAATTGTAAGTTAGTTATCCATGGATTATTATATAGTGACCTGGAATTTGTCATACATACCATCCGCCCGAGTTACTTTGATAATCCTATCTACATCATCCAAGCAGAAAACATCGCCATTCGCAACGATTGGAACCTTCGCGACGGACTTGATGAGTCTGATTGCTTCCAAATTTACAGGTTCACTCGATCTTTGAGATCTCCGTCGTCCATGAACAGTAATATAATCTGGGCCAGCAGATTCAACTATGGCGACGAACCTTACAGTCTCCCTAGTGATTATGAGTATGACGGCATTCACTGAAGGTGAAAAATGGGGGCAGGTTATTAGGGCGGGGGTCAAGAGGGGGCACTTGCTGTAAATCAGAGTGAATTCGTATTTTTACTGAAACACAAAATTGCGGCCCGCATCTCTCTTTCACAGCCAAGATCATATCCCTCACAAGCTCTGGCTTTCGCATGAGCCCACATCCAATACCCTCCTGAATAGCCCATGTTTGTGGACATCCACAATTGAGATCCACGCCATCACAGTAGGGCTGTACCAGTTCTGCGGCTTTGGCAAAATCCAAAACTGTATGGGCTCCAAACTGGACAACAAGTGGCCTATCTTCCGAGCTGGTGCTGAAATCTAATCATTCGGGTTAGGTCAAAATGTGTCCTTTTCTTTGAAAAGATAACATGTACCACTAAGACGAGCAGATTGATTTCTCACAAATTCCTTTGCAAGTATCTACGTTCTTATCAGTCTCAATTTACTTTGTCAACCCGTAGAGGTAGAAAGATGGCTAACCATGGGTGTATAGCAAAGATCGACTCCATATTCTCTAATCAATGCACGAAAGGGTAATTTGCTATATCTACATAGGAATTAACGAAAGTTATATTGGAATGGTTGATTAAGCGTTTATATATGAGTTACCTAACCATGGGCGCTTGTATAAATAATGGTCGATTGGCCGCTTTTGCTGCCTCGAATAGTCGTAGGGGACTACAATCTCAATTATTACATCATCCCGTATAAGGCAGGGGGAGAGAGGTCGAGGGATGTACTGGTGACTGTCTCGCCGTATTGGCAGCTCGTTTCTAGTTGACATGACGGCTGGGGAGGTTTGCGTCCTTGAGAGATGTGAGGAACGGATGTTGATTACACATACATTCGTTGAACTTGTAGGTAGGTATCAATAGAACGTGCTTTAAATATAAAGAAGCAAAAAAGAAAAATCGAATAATAGGGTTTCTCCGAAGAATATTATCTTCAATCGCCATAGCTAGTACACATTACGGCTTGATGAGTTGAACGGGTACCTAAATATACGCGTATCATGATAGGGTGTGCATGATAATTTCAACATGTACTCTATTGGCGCAACGCAACGACAAGCGAAGTGAAAAAGCCGAGTACATTAGTGAATCGAATCACAAGATACAACATTGAAAAGGTACAGAATTGATCAGAGAAAGCGGAGTAATACAATTAGTAGTAAAGATTAAATTAGGAATTTTTTAATTTTCCTGCAGTTCGGGTATGTAGGCTTTTTGTTGAGCGGCAATGTGAAAAGAAAGATTCTGTTACGGGCATGCCAAGCATTTACGGGAACAAGAGAAAGGCGAGTAGACACTCCCCAATACCCTCACACACTAACTGGAACACCACTATCAACTCTGGTTCGCACCCACAAGGTGCGATGCGATCAGTACTTGACCAAAGGTGGAGTTGTGGTTTTCCTAGTTAAAAAACACGTTTTCAACCCCAATAATAACCCCCGAAGTGTCAAACGGCTGAAATGGGCCACTTTTAGTCCAGTCGATATATGCGGGACAACTGGAAGCGATTGGATCGAAGATCGGTCCACTCGGAGAGGATCGGCACAAACTACCAGCCGGCTGAGTACTTATTGGTGGTACCAGTAGATATGAGAGGACTTTGCTATACAGGAAAGCGATACAGAAAGAGTCCTGAGTTGGTAGTCTTGCTGCCCAGTAACTACGAGTAGTCGATACTGACGATTGCCCACCAGATGGCCTGATGGCCGGGAAATATCGATGGAAACGTGCATAAGAATGGGTAAATGGTTGAGGGGTTTTAGCGGAGTTAGGAGTTTGGGTTATGGACTTAGGAGTTAAAAGTTCTTGTTTGTTTTCAAGGTCTTGGGCAGGCCCCAAGCGTATTCTGTACCATTAGTAGACTAAGTCCATGAGTCACTGGCATAAGCGAGAGATATAAATTTTAATGGAGACAGTTGGTAATGGAGCCAGTTCTACTGTCTGGTGTATGAGTACACACAGGGCCCGATTACATGCTGAGAGTTATTGTGAGAAGCCAATTGCACAGTGACATGCAAGTACCGGCAGTGTGGTTAGCTAACAGCTGTCAGAGCAATTACATTCTGAGCGCTAGGAAGTGGATCTATTCATGGGAGTAAGGACTAACTAGCCTATGCCTCGCCAATGACTAGAAGGCCAGCCAGAGCGAAGCTCTGAGTGCTCGCGATCCTCTATATCCTCTGAGCATGATAAGTCCACCGGTAATGGCAGGGACTATGTCTGGGAAAGTCTACAATAAGCGAAGAGCTCTACAACAACTATTAAGCTTACAGCTGAGCGGCAGCTCATCCATGCAGGCCCCAGTTGTGTGGCAACAAAGGCTGCAGGTGTTACAAAGGCTTTGACTAAGGGTAATTGCCTTCGGAACTGTAAGCACCCGCTAGCGCTTAGAGAGAAGCTGGGTAGCAGTGGTATTGTTTCCTTTTCTGGCAGAAGGTATTGCCGGAACTTAGTAAGGGAGTAGGAGCAGGGAATGGAATCCTTTGGAGTATAAGTACTCAGGATCCTTCCTGCCCAACTATCCGAACGTCTCCAGTCTTTAGAGTTTTATCAAGTATTCTACTCAGTAGCAGAGCCTTTAAAGATTATTGAGTTCTAGCATCAGCAAAAAATGGGTTTCCCCAAGACGAATTCGGACGCGCAGATGTCCAAATTCGTCTTTTGCCCACAGAACCTTGTCTTTTGGTCAAACGACCCCGTCGTATAACCCGCTCTTTTTGGCCGCTTCTCATTCGACCACAAAACGTTGTCCATGTGGAGCTCCAATTACGAAACTGGTCATGCGACCTCATTAGCTCATCTTTTGAATCAATCTATCCTACGATCGTCTTATGCCAAATGTCCGTGTCTTCACGACCCGTCAAAAGACGAAGATGGCTCAATTGGGAAATCCTCGTCATTTGACTCGGACATAATTCTCTTTCTAATAACTTACCATACTACTAGTACTACAAATCCTCTGTCCAAAATCGAAGTCCAATAATCACTTCGTCTAAAATACAAACTCTAATGACCCCCGGGCCCGTCTAATACCTTCCAACCAATATGTACAATACAATCTAATGCGTCGAATATCCACTGTTTAACATGTCTAAGGACTTCTGTCTAATTTCTATTCGTCTTCCCCGTTCGCCATAATCCCCCCTGCCCGAAGCCTATTGTCAGAAGTCCACCTGTCTAAAGTTTCTTGTCTGGTGTTCATGTCGTCAGTATCATTATAAAAAACTCAGTCCAACGTCCAGTCTTACTTCAGTAAATTGGTCCGTATGTCGATGGATCAATCGTACTATTGATAAACCATCTATTGTTCGTAGATGTAACAGGGGTCTATGGACGTAGGGACTATAGTGCCAAGGAATACGACCGAGGCGAGAACGTGGCAATAGGTATTCGAGACTATGGACTATGGAGTGGCTCTTCCTAGTATGACTAACTAGTTGAAACCTAGGACGAGGCGTAGAACAAAGTAGTATTCGTGGAGTACATACAAGATAGATAGATAGATATTTTATATTGCTTTGAAGTACAAGACTTATCGCACGCCATCAAACACCGCCGAGGACAAAAAGACAAAGGAAAGGAAAATCGAGTAAGGAGATACGGAAAAACGAGTACAGGAAAGTAAGAAAACCTTTAATCCTCCGGGTCCTCCTCCTCTTCGTCCATCTCGTACCAATCCAGTAGGTTTGTTTTTGCTGCGAATTGTAATATGAGGTCTATGTTCAGGTTCGTGAAGAGCCAGTTCTCCCAAGTGGGTGGTCCCGGGATCTTATCCATCAGTGGCCTCCGGATTTGTGTCCATCGGGGGCATTCGATTATGGTGTGTTTGGAGGATTGTTCTGAGCCGCATTGGCAGGGCTCAGGTTCTGTGTATGCTGCATGTCTGTCTAGTCTGGTGACCTGACATCGTATGCGGTGTATCAATTTAGCCTTGGAGATTGGGAGTTTTGCTCGTCTGGGGTTGACTTTGAGGGCTCCTGGTTCGTGGTAGTTGGTGATTGGGGTGGAATTCCATTCCTCCAACATGCGCTTGGTGATGAGGTCGTTTTGTATCCATCTTTCCCTGCGGTTTCCTGGCTCCTGGAGGGAAGCATAAGTGTTGCGACTCGGTGGAGTCCCGTGCCTTTGGTGTTCTTTATTTTGCTGGGGAGTAGTTGGATGAGTTCTTCATTGAGGGGGTGGTCAGCCGGATAGCAAAGGATCCGTGTACCATATTTTCGTGTCTTATGCGTGAGGAGTTGTTCCAGTGGTGGGAGTGCTGCTTCTTTAAGTAGTTTTGCAGTTTTTGTCCATCGGGGGAGGCCTGCTATGATCCTGGCTGCTTGGTTGTATAGTGGGTGGAGTGATCTTAGGGCGTGGTCTGCTCCTGTCCACCATGCTTCTGATCCCCATAGGATTGTAGGGAGGAGGCCTTGGACGACAAGGTGGTGTATGGTTTTAACTGTTGATCCAGGGAGGTATGCTATGTTCCTGATTTCTCCTAGTACTCGGAGGCCTTTGGCAATGGTTTCTTCGATGTGTGGTCGGAAGGAGAGGTTCGAGTCTAGCCATATTCCAACGTATTTGAGCCTGTCCTTGGGGTAGATTTCCTCGTTTGCGATTGTGACTGGGAGTTTTGGTGTGGGGATTTTCGATGTTGTGGGTTTGAAGAAGATGAGGTCGGACTTCTGTGGTTCATATTTGATGTTGAGGGGTGTTGCCTTTTTTACCCTTTCAGCCATCCTTTCGTTTAGCCTTTTGGTAGCGTAGAGGGGTGTCTTTGCGATCTGGACGAGCGCATCGTCATCAATGTATGTGGTGTTGAGTTCTTTGTTGGAGTTGCTGGGGTCTGTTATGACTCCTGCGTATATCATAAATAGTACCGGGGATAAGGGGGATCCTTGGGGCAGTCCTGAGTTGTATGGTTGGGGGGTTTCTAGTTCATGATTGAACTGGAATTGGAGAGTTCGGTTGGTGTTGAATTCCTTGCACCAGTTGGTTAGGTAGGTCGGGAATTTTTGTTGGGTCATGATTTCTGCGAGTAGGAGGTGGTCCACGCAGTTGAAGGCTCCTTGTATATCATTTGTGAGGAGGGCTGGTCTGTCTGGAGTGGTAGTTCCTGTGGTTCGTTTGATTAGGAGGTTTTGTTGAATGGGTGTGAGGGTGCGGAGTAGGGCATCGATCGCTGAGATTGTTGGCCTGCCTCCGAATTGGTCTTTGGTAAGTGTTTCCAATATAGATCCGGCTGTGCATAGTCTTGTTGCCACTATTTTTTCCAATACCTTGCTGAAGCATTGAGTAGGGAAATCGGTCGGTAGGCTTTGGCCGATGAGTAGTCTGGTTTGCCTGGTTTTGGGATTGGTACACATTTTGCCACTTTCCATTGGTCTGGTTGGACTCCGTGGCGGAGCATGGCTGAGAACATGTCTTGAAATAGTTGGATATTTGCTTTGATCGTGGCTTGGATGAATGGGTATGGGATGCCGTCGGGGCCGGTGGCTGAGTGTGTTGGACATGATTTGATTGCGGATGTGATTTCCTCTGGTGTAACTTCCTGGAAGGTGTCACTAAGATCAAAGGATGGGGGTCTGATTTGGAGTGGGGGGTTGTTGGGGGACGTCCAATTTGTGGGGAAGAGTTGAGCTCTCAGAGCTTGGCACTTCCCCGCAAACGTCTCTTCACCTTATATGGTTGGGATTGTAACATCCCTTCTTCTTCCTGCGTTGACTAGTTTCCAGATGGTGCTTCCTTTAGCCTCCGCAAGTTCCTTCTCCCTTTGTTCTGGTTTGGC